TCACATCATCTTCTCAATGCTATTAGGGTGGGGCAATTAGTTCAAGCCTTGTCAGTGTTGCCCAAATCCCACAAATGACTTTAAAAAACTGAATGTATGCACTTTGTATTCATAAGAACACCTAATCTCACTTTCCCATAGGGTGCCTTCCCTCCACCTGTCCCAGAGCTGTCCTGGGACCAGCTCAAAAGGGGAACCTTACCTCTCCAAAGGAGCACCCTAGATGTTCAAAAGTAACATGCTGAGAACAGACTCACTCTTACCCGCTCCCTTGTCCATGGTCCAGGTTCCACAGTTCATGGACTTCAAAGTCAAGCCTGCAGAACAGGCTTGAAAGGCTGAATGGCCTAGTCCTGTTCCTATTGGGTGCAGCTGATCAATCATGTGACTAGTTGCCTCCAGGATCCAGACATATGGACACTGGGAGCCACGCCAAATCCCATTCCAAGAGATCTTGAGACTTGGGATTCCTGACTTCCACCAGCAATTTCACTGTAATGGCGACGTTAACTGTCATGGCAAAATGGCCAGTGCCTTTGGATTTAGCTTTTCTCATTTTCACTGATGCCAGCTTTTATCATGAATGCCCTACGACCTTTGATAACATCATTGTCCCTTTTTGATTTGCTCTGTGCATTTTTTTTTTAAATTCAAATCACTTCTCTGTTCTTCACATTTCTCTTGCTGTGTTTCAAATTTTCCCTTATCTGAATCTTCCCACCTCCGTTATCCCCCACTTTCCCAATTACGGCAATTCATACAAACAAGAACAATCAGCTCATCTCTCTACCGAAGAACCAAGTTAGATGAATGTTGGTCAGGCCACTGAAGAGATCTCCTTGACTCTTCTAACACATTCCTGTCGCAGAATCACAGAATCCCTACTGTCTGGAAGCAGGGCATTCAGCCCATTGAATCCACACCAGCCCTCTGAAGTGCATCCCACCCAGACACAACCCCCCATCCTATCCCTGCAACCCTGCATATCGCATGGCCAATCCACCTAACCTGCACATCTTTGGATGGGAGGAAACCGGAGCACCCGGAGGAAACCCACACAAGAAGAAGGTGAAAACTCCACACAGACAGTTGCCTGAGGCTGGAATCAAACCCACATCCCTGGCACTGTGAGGCAACAGTGCTAAACCACTGAGCCACCGTACCACCCCTTCAAATCTAACTGAGTGAGCTGACATTGTGAATGCTGTCCAAAAGCTAGCATCTCCAACAGTGTAGCCTTCCTTCAATATTCACTGACATGCTGGCTCTCACAAAATCTCAAAATGGTCCCAGCACAGAAGGGAGCCTGTTGAGCTGCTAACATTTACCCAGATAGATTCAGTTCTATGAACACCATCCTACCTTGAATGGATCCCAGGTCACTAGGTAAATACGCCTGATGCCAGAAGAAGTATCTGGATATCATGCCACAATATTCCTCTTTGTCAGTAATCATACACGCGAAAGACAAAACCACCTGCTCCAAAATGACACATCGATTTTTCAGTGCAGTGCTAGCACGACTCAGAGCTGTAGCATAGTAAATGGCACATCTGTTACACATTACGTAACTTGACAAAGTCACATTTAGATCTTAATTTCAAGCTTACACTTCAGGCGGCATCTTAACAGTAATGACCAAATTCTGTGAGCTTGATGACTTAGCCTTTTCTATGCAAGTCAGAATGCACTTAAGCTGGTCACAAGCAATTGGATCATTAGAAAAGACATATGATCTCCAGTGTCATTGCCTATTGCTATTTCATTGCTTGTCTCTGGATGGTGCTTAGGACAATCACGTTGGAAGACCATGAAAGAGACAAACTGGGCACAGTAGATGTACACACAACAGTTAGTTCTCAGTAGGTACATCAGAAGAAGTATTTATCCATAGGAAGGAAGTAATTTCCATTTATGTAACACTGTTCACAGCCTCAGGACATTTCCCAACCACTTTACGACCAGGTGGTGTGTAGTCACTTTTGGAAAGGAAAAATGACAACCAATTTGAGCACAGCAAGGTCCCACAAACAGCAATTACTGAATGATCAATTAATCCATTTGTGTGACAAATATTAGTATGGACACCAGAGCTCCCTTGCTATTCTTTGGTATGGTATTATAGGATTCCTGTTTCATCTGAGCGAGCAGTTGTCAACATCTTATCATCTGAAATACAGTCCTATTTCTTTATTTTTCTAATAATCTACGGAGTAATGTTTGACTTTTTAACTCTAGTTTCTCTTACTACTTTGTACCTAAGCTTTTCTTATACGAAGCTACCTTTGTACCTAAAATGGTGCCATGTGTAGCGACATTATAGAGTTTTCACTGTACTTCTGTACTTCTATACTTCAGTACACGTAACAATAAAAAGTAAGATCTAAAAAAAATCTAAATCTCAAAGCAATACTTAAGTGCCAGCCTGAACTATGTGTCCATTGTCTCTGAAATGGGACTTAAACCACAATGTTCTGACACAGAGGAATCAGACTGCCATTTCACTCGTGATGTGACTGAAGAAATTGGCAATGTTGACTGAAGCAACTTCTTTGTTATGTAGAAGCAATATTTTAAAAATGTCTTTTCACAGTGTAAAAATATCGGAAGCTTTGTAAAACAAAAACAACTCCTATCTGTATCTCCCTGGGTATTAGGTACTAATTTAAGCATCAGCTGGAAAATACTAATGATGAACCAAATGTTAGGATCTCAACTCAGCTCCAAGATAGCGCTTCATAAATATTTAATGATTATTTTTCTTCACAAAAATTCCACCTAGCGGATGTGACGAATGGCAGACCAAAACCAAATGGATTAAAAATTAATCTGGGGGAAAATGTCACAGCACAAACAATTGCATGCATGTGCCCTGTACTGTCTCAGCATGCCATGTGTGCAGAATGAATTGAGGTTTCTAAAAAGGAAGATAAGGTAGGATCAAGACATATGGTAGAACAGTGGGGGTTTCCAATTAGAAAACAGCAAGGTTGTATGTTTATGTAGCACCTTTACTGTTAAAAAAAATCCCAAGTTGCTCACGCAAGGATTACAAAACAAAGTGTGTCAACAAAGTGATGTCAGGAGATAGTAGTTCAGAACTTGTCAAGGGGGTATGTTTACAGCGATGACTTAAAGGAAGATAATGAGGTAGAGAAATGCAGAAGGATAGAAGGGATTTTCTAGAGTTTGAGATCCAAGGAACTGAGGGGGCAGCCATCACAGGATAAGCTAAAATCAGGCATGCAGGCAGATTTAGAATAAGCACAGGTATTATGGAGAATTGTGGAGCTGCAAGAGATTACAGAGATAGGAATACAGAGGCAGGAGAGTTGCTAGGCCTAGCATAATGGAGAAGAAAACTTGATGGGCTGAAAAACCTACAGTTCATCTTTGTTTCAGTCTCTAGTCAATAATATGCTACTTGCAGTCTGAATCTAGTTTGCAATTGTAATATTCTGTAAAATTAAAGGAACAATTGGATACTTCCAGCGGGAGGGAGAATGAGTTATTAGAATGCTCTCATTATGGCAGAAACCAGGTTGACCTTCAGAACACAGTCCAGGAACTTCACTGCCAAATGATTGCCAGAATTTATATAGGGTTCATTTGTCTACAGTAAAATAGGTATTTATCTGATCACTAATGTATTTACTTCTGGTCAATGGTTCTTTAGACAATTGCAAGGAGCAGCCTTAACTAAATGATTGGAATCATCGGTGTTGGTCATTATCAAGCATTTTCTCGGAGTCTAACAACAAAATTCCAACAAACTATCGAGGTTAGGCAATGCTGAGAAACTGCACTGATCATTCGCTTATTCAGTCCTTTAGAAGCTATCATTTTATAACTGAAATTGGATAAGTAATTGAAAATCAAGTGCTGGAGGGAAGTGGTAACCAGGTTGAGAACAACAGGACAGCACTTCCTGAAGGCTGGCACCAGCAGAGTGGGCTGAAAGGCCTACTTGTGTACTTACTGTAAGATGCTATGATTAATGTAAGTAATGTGTGTGTGTGTGTGTGTGTGTGTGTGTGTGGCGGACTGCCTCCACTTTAAAATCTGAACGCAGCGATGATAGAGCTGATCTTGTCCAATTTAAATACTGTAAGTCAACGAAAGATTCTTTAACTGTTGCAATCTTGGAGGTCAGCCTGTGCAAATATTGATACATCAGAAACCTCTACTATTCTACCATATGTTTTGATATTGCCTTTTTAGTTCCTAGCCACCACCTCCCCCCCCCCCCCCCCCCCCCCATCCCGACACAACCCACACCCCCAACTCTCAGACCTCCACAAACCCAGGGCTAACTTTGGATAGGTAGCTTTATCCACATGAAAATAGTCAGACACATATACTGCAGGAATCATGCCTTCTTGTCGGTACAAAATTAAACTGCAAACAAGTCAACCCGCGAAATAAGTGTGAGAACTGAGCAACACAGGAGATCAGCCTGCTCACCCGATGCTGGCCCCCGCTTGCAACCCCATTGTCTGTGAAAGAGAGGATCGGAATTTGTTGTGTATTTTAGCCTGGCAGTGAAAACAAGCCTCTAATCCGTCTCTGGGCTAATTCGTGATTCATGGAACACGGGCTGAATTTACATCCTCTCTGCAGAAGGCACTAAACAGTTCGCTGGGATTATTGGCAAGACGCAGAGCTAAACTAGTTGGGAGCGTGAACGCACGAACATGTATGAATGCTGGAGTGACACAGGACAGTGGGGGACAGCTGGTGGATTTAAAACACAGAGACGGCTTTGCTCAGGCTCAACGGGAACAATAGTGAACATGTGCACGTATGCACAAAGTAAGGGGAAGCTGTGAGCAATATGCAGCCGCGTAATAATCCCCCAGTGGAACAGACAAGTGAAGCCGGGGTACGGACAGACATAAATCCGACTGGTGACAATAAGGAATCTCTAAAACACGAGGCAGACAACAGGGAGAGGGGGAAAATCCACACCCACCCTACCTCCCCCCTTCCCAGGTCCTCACCTATCTTGGCCAGCGATGCTAGCATGATCCATAGCGTTATTTCAAAGGGGACCTGGACGTGATGATAGTCCAGGGAGAAGACCTTGAGCCTTTCTGTGTTGACACTCTGATTCCCCTCCTGCTCCGGCTGAATTGCTTTGCTCTCCGGCTGGTTGGAGGTGACTGAGATCCAGCGATGGCTCTGGTTCCCGGTCGGTTCGGCTGCTTTCGGGTCCGAGATAGTTTCGACAAAGAAGGAGCCCCGTGCAAAAAGTTCAACCAGCAGGACGCCGAGCCAGACACTGCAACGGGACATGGTGAGCGGAGCTCCGTGCAATCTGCCCTCACTCCAACACCGCACCCTGTCAGACTGAGCTCGATGCACACACCAGGTCTGCCTACCGTACTTAAAGCTGAAATGTCTCTCTTCTTTCTCTCTCTATCTCTCTCTATGCCTTTTCGAAAGATGCATAACTGGGAGTTGACGGTCAGAATCGTTACCCCCCACCACCACCCCCAGAGTTGAAATGTCTAATACGAGGGGACACGCATTTAAGGTGAGAGGGGAAAGTTCAAAGGAGATGTGAGGGGCAAGTGTTTTTATCCAGAGAGTGGTAGGAGTCTGGAACGCCCTGCCAGGGCTGGTGGTGGAGGCAGATAGGGGCGTTTAAGGGGCTTTCAGATAAGCAGATGAATATGCAAGGAATAGAGGGATATGGACCAAGGGCAGGCAGAAGAGATTAGTTTAATTTGGTAGCATGTTTGGTGCAACATTGTGGGCTGAAGGGCCCGTCCATGCTGTACTGTTCTATGTGGTATGCCTGATTGTAAATCAGTTATTATTTTCCTTGCTAGGTTGTCCTAAAAGGCCTTGGCTTTTCTGTTGTTTTCTGCTGTTACTTGGCTTTGTTCATACGCTACACTGAATATTCACTGAGTGTTGACAGTGGGGAATTGTAGACTATTTGACCATGGGATTGGTCTCACACCCCTTATCCACACTCGCAAAACTGTTAAGTTCCAACAGAGAAGATCGACAGCTGCACGGGAACACCACTAGCTGCAAGCCACTCACCACCCTGACTTGTAAATATCAGGCGTTTCCTTCAGTGGGTCAAAATCCAGGAACTTCTCTCCCTAACAGCAATGCAGCTGTCCCTTCACCCTCAAAGTCTGTGACAGTTCAAGAAAGCAGCTCATCTCTACCTAGTCAAGGGCAATTAGAGGTGAGCATTAAAAGCTGGTCAGGGACAGCCTATTGGTACTTTCCAAAAGAAAGGACTTACAAAATGCCAACATAAACAGACCAAGCATGATCTTTATTTTACCCTCACCCAACCAGAAATGGAGAGTACCAGTCCTGCAAACATCCAGCTAACTCATCAAACTAACAGGTGTGGCTTCAAGTTATCCTAGCCAGGGTGAAGCCAATCAAATCAGAGAGAAAACAATCCCATTGGTTGGAGTTGTATCCAGCACTAAAGAAGATGGTTTGTAGTTGTTTGAGATCAATTATCTCAGTACACTGCAGGAGGTCTTCAGGTTAGTGTCCTAGGCCTGACCATTTTCAGCTGCTTCATCAATGACCTTCCCTCCATCGCAAGGTCAGAACAGGGAATTTTGCCGATGACCTCACGATGTTCAGTACCGTTCATGACTCAACAGATACTGAAGCAGTCCATGGCTGTATGTCATCCAGACCCATTCTGCATTTAGGCTGGGGCCAAAATTGGCAAGCAACATTTGTACCACCCAAGTGCCAGGCAATCACTGTCTCCAACAAGTGAATATCTAACCATCACCCCTTGACAATTAATGGCATCACCATTGTTGAAATCCCCATTATTAGTATTCTGAGTTACCCTTGAAATAGATTTGGATCAGCCATATAAATACTATAATTAGAATGCAGATTAGATGTTGTGGATTCCCTGATTCCATCTTGTGAATCTGCAAAGCCTATCCATCATCCACAAGAGACAACTCAGGAGTGTGATGGAATACTCCCCACTAGCCTGGATGAGTGCAGCTCCAACAACGCTCAGGAAGCTTGACACCATTCAGAACAAAGCAGCACGCTTGATTGGTACCCCATCCATCACAGAAAAGACATACACCCTCCAGCTGTGCACTGTGCAGTAGTTTGCACCATTTGCAAGAAATAAGGCAGCAATTCATCAAGCCTTCTTCAACAGCACCTTGCAACTAGATAAGCTCCATGACCGAGAAGGACAAGGGCAGCAGGTATATAAGGACACTATTGACTGCAAGTTCCCTTCCAAGCCTCACACTATCCTGAGTTGGAAGTCTATCTACATACTTTCACTTTTGCTGTGACAAAATTCTGAACTCTCTAGCATGGTGGATGTACCCACAACACATGGACTGCTGCAGTTCAAGAAGACAGTTCACTACACACTTTATTCACTGGTAACTAGTTAACAGTCTGTTTGGAATGGTGTCTTTTATTAACATGCTTTGAAGATGGCTGCCTTCAGTATGTGTGTGCCTCTTGGCAGACGTGACATGAAAACAGTAGACAAGAAGGGACATTTGACATGCCTGCATTTCTGACATTCAAACATCACATTTTTATAGAAAGAGAAACTAAACTAATTGCATGTATAGTCATGTTCATTCTGAGTGACACAGGTTACCCAATATACATAGGACTGTAGTCACGCATAGCAGTTTGTTCTTCTCATCAGTCATCATAATCCTTCCCAACAGGGTAAGTGTATTGACATGTACCTCCGTAGCTTGTTGAAAATATCTCTTGCTATTTTATAATTATTTTATTATACATGGAAAAACTGCTAGTTGTGCTTCATATCACGTTTCATTTCCGTTGGAGCTCGGAAAAAAAGATAGTCATTTTCTGTTGCTCAATGTTTTAGTGGTAAACTTTTTCTATGTTTTCTTTTAGTTTATTTCAGTTACTTATACGAGCTTTTTGCAACTTCGAAAATATCTCTACCTCTTTGTCAGTAATTGAACTTTTTTTACAACTCTTCATTACAAAGCAAGCTCAGCTTCACTCCTGACACCATGCTCTGTGCTCAGCAGCTAGCAGTCTTGACTGACTGGTGTCTTTATTGAAGTGTCTCCAACGTGGCTGCCTACGCTATGTGTGCTTCACAGAAGAGGACACATGCCTATGGCAGGTCAGTAAGGACATTTTTACCTAACTGCATTTCAATCCAAACAACCTTCTCAAGGACAGTAGGGATAGGTAGAGATAGGTAGCATGTGAAGCCTACATCACATGTGTAGTTAATGGGTGTGTGATTTATTTGTATTAATATCATTTTGTTTAGAGTTTGTATTTCAAAGTATTGATGTTGGTCTAAAATATTGGTGTTGGTCTATTTTGGGAAAGAGATTAAAAATTAATTAGGTCAATTTTTCCCAGCAGCATGATTTAAAAGCCAGTATGTGTCACAGGAAGCAGGTGAATGTGAGAATCCCTGAAGTGTTAATGGAATTTTATGTATATTTTGGAGGCTTATGATGTGAGATCGGAACATTAGACCACGAGCTCTAGTAGAATCTAGGATAAACATTTTTTTAAATAATTCAGTTCAATTGATTTTGCTTTCAGTTTGAAGGAAAGCAGACTAGAGTCAGAAGCAAATGTGCCATCTCCTAGAAAAGATAGATTGTTCAAAGCAGTAAGAAAGGAAATTATGTCCATGGAAGAATACGGTTTGTGAAGCTCTGCAGATTATTCAAAGCTGAGAAGATTTAATCTCTCGGTTATGTGAGTCTTCACAAAAAATGCTTCACACCTCAAAGGAGAGGAACTGAGAACATGCAGTGAAATCAAACCTATAGATTGGACAGAGAAGGAAAATTTCCTTTTGAAATAAAAAAAAATTCACTTGTGGGACATGGGGATTGCATTTGTGCTAGCATTTATTGCCTGCCCCTAGTTTCCCTCTGGAAAGTGATGGTGAGCTGCTTCCTTGAACCATTGCAGTGTATGTGTTTTAGGTAGACACACATTGTTGTCAGGGAGGGAATTCCAAGATTTTGATCCGTTGACACTGAAGAAATGGTAATGTAAGTCAGGATGATGAGTAGCTTGGAGGAAAACTTGCAGGTGATGATGTTCCCTATGTATCTGTTGCCTTTGTCCTTCTAGATAAAAGTGGCTATGGTTTTGAATGATGCTGTCTAAGGATCTGTGGTGAATTTCTGCATACAGCCATCAAGTCATACAGCGCGAAAATAGATGCTTTGTCCCAACTTGTTCATGCTGACCAGGTTTCCTATTCTGAACTCGTCCAATTTGCCTGCAGATAGTACACACTGCTGCTACAGATCTTCGGAAACGGAAAGGATGGAAGTTTGTAGATGTGGTGCCATTCAAACAGGCTGCGATATTCTGGATGGTGTCGTGCTTCTTGAGTGTTGTTGGGGCTGTACTCATCCAGGCAAGTGGGGAGTATCCCATCACACTCATGACTTGTGCCTTGAAGTTGGTGGACAGGTTTTGGGGTGTCAGGAATTGAGTTATACAATGCAGGATTCCTAGCCTCTGACCTGCTTTTGCAGCCATTGTTTTTATGTGGTGAGTCCAGCTCAATATCTTGTTAATGATACGTCCCAGAATGTTGACAGTGAGTGATTCATGATGGTAATGTCATTGAAAGTTGATGGTGTTGGGGAGTAGGTGGGATTTTGTTTTCCCTTGTGTTTTGAAGTCTTTAAAACATGCTATATTTAGATAGTTTGGTTTGACTTAATTTATTTGTATTCCTTTTATGTAATTAGCTTCTGTCTAATGCTAAAAATAAATTTGCAGCATTGTTTGAGTGAAAGACTTCCGCTTTTAAAAAAAATGATCAAACCGTGTTTCATTCTGGGATCCGACTTGACCAGTAGAAATGTTAACTGGATCATTACAGATAAAAGAATGAAAAACCAAAATAAAACTGAGCACAAACTAGTAATTAATCCTGGTTATTCAGTTGTCTTTCGAAGGCTAAATTTGGGTGTTGGTGTGAACATGGAACATAGAACTGTACAGCACAGTACAGGCCCTTCGGCCCACGATGTTGTGCCAAACCTTTGCCTTAAACCTAAGGTCTATCTAACCTCCACCCCTACCTTATACTATCATCCGTATGCCTATCTATTGGCCGCTTAAATGTCCCTAATGAGCCCGACTCCACTACCCTCTCCGGCAATGCTTTCAAAGCTAAGTGGATGCATTCAAAATGTGGATTCAAAGCTAAATTGGATGCTGTTTAAGCATGAGGAAAAAATTGGTAATTTGCTGATTTTTAAAACATTTTCTTGGGATGTGAGTATCACTGGTATATGCAGCATTTATTTTCCATCTC